ATTCCTGCTCTTTCACTAAATCTGTCGCTGTACTAAACCTGCTTCTCTTCATCAGTGTCTGTCGTCTTCAAAGATCAATACATTTTGGTGCCATTTTTTTACTATGGTCTCTTAGTGTATTCTTGCATCATCTTCCACTCTCCGCTTTGTCCTGCTCTGGACGCTGTTAGGATTTGTCTCTGTTCCTGGCCTGTTTCTTTAGCTCTCAAATAGCTCTCTGTGTAGGTGTGTGCACTTTCGACATAAAAGCACAGGGTGCTGTACTTGGAATAACCGTCTCTTAGAGCTAAAATATTTGTTGTTTTCATCCCTCTTTCCGCTCCTTCTTCTTCCTAAACTAAATTGTAGTTGTTCTTGCTATGATCCTCCTGAGCACAGAAGAGTTGCACTTATGGACTAGTTGCTCCTGGATACCTCTTCAGTGAGAGAGTTCCCACGTATCTACAGTCTTGTTATTCATGCGGAGGAAATGCTTTTGTTTTCTTTTATCACTTCCAATTTCTTCTTATGCAGAGTATCAGATAAAACCACATTATGAACTGTATGATTAGGCACCGCTTTGTTTTCCAGAGCTGGTTTCACATATGGAGCAATTCAGGTAGCCCAGATGCTGTCCTGAATTTGTCTGTTACTGTGACGCTAGTCCAGGAAATGCGATCTTAATCTTTTAAATCTTGAGGTGCTGGAAGCTTGAGGCTACTAATCCCTAGAAATACTGAGACACAAGTTAATTGGCATCAATGGCCCAAGGAAGCTTTCAGAATTTTACCTGTTAGCTTCAACCTTTCCCAGTTATCTTAGGGGAGAGAAGGAAGGCCTCCACACTGCGTGGAGAAAAATCAGACTGCTGCCTCCCTGTTAACTCTGAGAGAAGACTTCTGTGTTCAGTAAGTAGGAGGTAATGCTGTCAGTGAACTTCCTCCTATCACAACAAATGAGCTAAAGCTTAATGTGTGGTCAGGTCTTTTTTTCTTGTTTGTTTTTTTTTTTTTTTTTTAAAATCTGCCTCCCTCACTCCTGTTTTTTAACACAGTTAATGTGAATGTAATAATGTCCATTAGAGAAGATAAGTAACGCTTATTTAACCATCTTAAAATATCTGTGTGCTTCTGTCAGTGTGAAAAGCCCACTAAACATACCTGCATATCTTGTGTTGTGCAAGTATTCAGATTTTAACCTTCAGCTCTGTGGTGGGCTGTTCTTGGACTCTTTTTTGCTGACAGCTTTTCCCAACGCTGAGTTTATAGCCACTCTGAAAACTAGATCACAGACTTCCTGTTCTAGTTCTGAAACACACAGCATGTTCAGAGTCCTCTTTTTGGTAGTTCTCTGTTGACTTGAGTTTGTTACAGGATTACTTCTAGTTTAGCGGCGCCCAGTTTGGTCTCTGTGGCATGTACGAATGCCAGAAAGAGAGGTGGTGCCTATCTGAATAGCTCCAACGTGTGCCAGGCGGAAGTGCGGAATTGTTTTCTGCAGCATGTTCGGAATTTTTCCTTTAGAAAAGGGGCTTTTTCACTCTGTGAAGTCATCTTGCTCATAAAAGTACATAATACAGATTGTAGCACTTCTGTAATTCTTTTTTATTAGCTGAAGGGTGGATTAATTTCCCTGCAGAATGAATTTTTCCATAGTTTTGAAAATCTGTGGGAGTCTGCCATTTGAGCTGGCGCAAGAAGCTTTGTGATGGGCAGTGAGATTGGAGCTAGTCTTGTAATTACTGGGTTTTTGGTAGCAAGGACTTGATTTTAATGACCAGCTATTTTTAAATTACATTCAGTGCTCCCCCTCACTTTGCACTGTCAGATGGGGAGCACTAAATGTAATTTAAATATTAAAACACATGGGTTTTCACTGGAAACTGAGTGTCTGTTTCATGTTGCAGTACCCTCAATGGCATTGTGCGAAACTTTGAAAAGCTTGGAAGAATTGAACAAGTTATGTTTTTTTAGCAAAGTAAAATAAGTAAGTTTTTACATAAGTGGAACTAGATAGCTCATAACTCAGCTGGTAAAATATAGTTTTGCTGTCGGTAAATGCAGTTTCCCCGTGGTTTCTCTCGTGTGGTTGACTTTGCAATCAGCTGCTTGTCTGCCTGTGAACCCTCTGCTTGTCTGTTTCTTCACCCCTCCCCTTCCCTATCCAAATTCCCTTTGGCCTTTATAGTATAAAACCTCATCCCATACCTTTGGAAGTCTGAATGATCGTGCAGCTTTTTGAGGCTGCTCGATTGATGTCTATAAGGAGAGAAAGAGGACCGGAAATGACTGGTGGTAGATAGCGTTGGATGTTCTCAGAGAAAGCCCTCAATTAAACGGATGAAATAAATAGTTTTTCATCACACAGACCTGCAGAAGTCAGAGGTAGTCACTAAAAGCCATTTTTTCTGTTGATTAATATTAAATTGCAAGGTATCTACAAGGCAGATACTTATAGCCGCAAAGAGCAAGTGAAGGTCGCTGCAGCGTGCCTGCTGCTGTGTAAAGGCTTGTGGATAATCAATAGCTTTGCAAGAGTGGTGTCGGAGGAGGTCAGTTAACTATGTATTTATTAACTTATGCTTGTTCAAGACTCGCTGCCTGTGACAGGTAGTTGAAGATTGTTAAAGGTTCAGATTGCAACTAGGTGAGACTTTAGCCAATGTTCTGGAGGGGTGACTCGTATTCTGTAAACTGAGAGGCGCCTTCAGACACTTTCTTAGCACTTACAGTGACGTGAGCGCGCTGTAGCTCTGCGCACAAAGATATGTTTAAAATAGTTGTAAGTCATTCTCACAGCAATCACTGAAGTATGCTAATCCATTGAAATTAATATAAACAAGTTAATGAGTGTTTATCTCCTCTGGTGAGGAGGCTTTAAAGTTTTAAGCCTGGAAAACCTTCCTGGCAAAATGTAGTTGTAGCTACCAGCTATTTACAAGGGTTTCAGTGTGGGCCTACTGTGTGTAGGGTTAGTTCATTAATGTTTCCAGTAGGTGACTCCAGGGGAAATGTGTTCTTCTGCATTCCATCTCCAAGTAGAAAGTATGTCTGGTAATCAGTAAGTAAATGAAAAATGTCTTCTGCTTTATTTTTAGATGCTTGCTGTAAGTAACGTTACTGTGCGTCACCCGCTTATCACTGCATCAGATCTTCATGAAGCAAGCAAGCAGATCAGAATGGACTCAAAAGCAAATATTGTACATGGTAAAGCTCAGCATTTTCCCCCCAAATGTTTCTTAGGAGTATGGAATGTGTCAAGTCCCTCCCTGAAATCGCTCTGTATAGTGCTGTGTGCCCCGTTGGTATGAGCTGCACGGGGAATCCATCTGTCCGTGGAGTCTGCTCCCTGCTAATTTGCGTTCATACATGTGTGCGGATGTAACCATGCTGAATGAACCAGAAATGGAATTACAGAATAGTTGATATAAATCCTACTAGGCGGGGAGCTCGGGCAGCGCGCTGCTGCGATGCAGGCTCCGGGCTGTCCGTCGCAGGCAGCTGGTGCGGTACTGCAGTGTCGCCGGGGAAGCAGCGGTGGCCTGGGCAGAGGCATCGCTCTGGGCAGTGGCTCTGGCCTGTTCAAGTGACGGAGGAAGGGATGGTGCTGACCTCTTCCTGCCAGCGCCGGGAGCTGGGGGATGCTGCAAGAAACCCTCCGAGAACTGCAATAGTTTGTACTGGCATATGTACAAAATTTGAGTGTGTACTTGAATTCTGTACTCTCAGAACTATAGCGGCATGCGCTTACCTGTGTTTAACTGTGCTTCTGTTTGTGCTGTACTGACTCCTCGAGCGTATTTCGGTGTGCTGCTGCAGCCTTTGTGTGGCCTGGGGGCTCTCCCTTTCTGAACCTCAGCAGATGGGATGTACTGACCACTATGCTTAAGTTTTCTCTGACAAGCATTTTGGAACCTCTGCAAACAGTGAGAAGAAATAAACATCTCCTGGTGATGGTACAAAGCCCGAATATAGTTAGAGGAGGAATTGCTTCCCTGACCAGGAAACGTTACCTTAGCCCATTGCTTCTTTATGGCTTCCAGATTTTACAGGCTTTGGTTTGGCTCACCCTGTGATTCTCAGCATCTCTTTAGTATGGTGGAGCGAATTCCCTGTATCGCTTCTTTAGCTTTGACTAGCAAATAATCTCTTCAAACTCTCATTTCATGACATGCTATACAGTAGCATGGAGATTGTCTTGGTGCTGCTAAAAATTCGTTGTCATGCCATACAATCTGCAACGATGCTTTTTCCTTGTACTTAAATGTCTCGCTTTTTGATGGAAGCAGCCCATTTCTTAACATTCTTGCTTCAAATATCTGGAAAACAAATGTCTTATCTAGCCTCTCCAATTATGGAAGTTTTTTTACATTATGAAGATACATAACACAAACAGGTGAGGCTCACAGCATGTAAAAATAGAGAGGTAAAAATAGTATGTGAACTGCTTGCGTTTCTGATGTGCTTAAGAGAAATATTTAGAGCTCTTGTCTTTCCCTCTAGGTTTGTCTGTCCTGGAAATCTGCCTAGTTATAGCTATGAAACACTTAAATGATGTCTATGAAGGAGAACCATTTAACTTCCAGATGGTTTACAATGGTGAGAGAAATGCATGAACTTTACAAACACTAAATCACTTACTTTCCCCTAACTAACGTTTTTTTTTTTTTTCCTGTTACTGGTCAGAATTCCAGAAGTTCATACAAAGGAAGGCGCATTGTATGTACAACTTTGAAAAACCAGTTGTCATGAAGGTAAGCCTGAAATGTAATTTTTTTTTTTTTTTTTTTTTTACTGTGAAGTATTTAGATGTTGGGTTTATTTCTAGTGCATGGGTTGAGTAGTCGAACAGCGAGTGGGTGCTTCAGGGCAGTGAGAACACCCCCCCCCGCCTCCCCTTGGTGGAACAGGCACCCAAGGCCGGGATTTTGGGCACCCACCCCCCCGCCTTCCCTGGGGTGGGGAGCTCACAGCTGGGCTAAGCTGGTCACCAGTCACACTTGGAGGAGTTTAGTCCCAGGGTGAGGACTCTCTCTCTCTCAAGTAAGCGTAACTGATTTAGGACTGGGGTTCGGCAAGACTGACAGTATCAGAAATGGCTTCCAAAAAGAGAGATTTGTGTCTGTGTGTAGGTATCTTCAGCTTGCTCATTCACTTCTGCTGTTTAGAAGTGATGTCTCCAAAATTTAAATTAATCTTAACACATTGAAAATCTGCTTTTCTTAATCCAAGTCCCAGTAGGTCTGACAGGTACATGGCATGATAGCCTAAATAGGGCTGCATTTGCCTCAACCAACTACAGCCTGAAGTGCAAATTGAAAAATAGTCTTTTGGTTACAAACCTGTTCTCGTTTGGCCTTCGGGGCTGCTGGGCTGTCACTCAGCTAACGTCATTTTGCCAGGCTCTGGTGGTGAGGCATAATCCTGCTGTGGTGTAGCCATCAAACAGGGGTCATGCAGGTGCTGTGTTTTCAGCTCACGGACTTAACCCAAGGACCAGCAATTCGGTAGTCTAAGTTGTCCTCCAGTCTTGCAACGCGTGAGCTGAGCAGCCTTGGCTTCTGATTCAACACTATTCAATTGCACTTAAACTGGAGGTGATGTAATGCTGTCTCGGCACTTCTAATAGACTATTCCAGTTTGTATCCCTGAGTGACACAGTCATTCCCAGTCAGTTGCACGTATATCACGTTGCAAATACTATTTCTTTAATAAGAGAAGTGCATTCTGCTGCAGCTCATGGCTCCGGTTGGTGTGCTTTGCTGTCCGTGCAAAAGGCTGTAAAGTAAAGCAGAGCTGGGATTTCATGTCTGCCTGCTGAGATCATGGAACAATAGAATGGTTTGGGTTGGAAGGGACCTTGAAGACCATCCAGTCCCACCCCCTGCCCTGGGCAGGGCCACCTCCCACCAGCCCAGGTTGCTCCAAGCCCCATCCAACCTGGCCTCGAACACCTCCAGGGATGGGGCAGCCACAGCTTCTCGGGGCAACCTGCCCCAGGGGCTCACCGCCCGCACAGGAAAGAGCTTCTTCCTCATATCTCACCTAAATCTCCCCTCTTCCAGTTTGGAGCCATTTCCCCTCTTCCTATCACCCCATGCCCTCGTAAAAAGTCCCTCTCCAGCTTGTCTGCAGGCCCCTCAGATACTGGAAGGAGCTATAAGGTGTCCCCGCAGCCTTTTCTTCTCCAGGCTGAACAACCCCAACTCTCTCAGCCTGTCACAGCGTCTCATAGGTCATTCAGAATGAGTGGTACAGCCCGGAATGATGTTATCATCTTCTATTTCCTCTTTTTTTTTTCTTTTGTTTTTAGGCATTTGAACATTTACTACAACTGGAGTTAGTAAAACCCATAGAGAGACCGTCTGTACGTGTGCAGAGAGAGTACCTCTTAATGAGACTGCTGTTGGACAATAACCAAATCATGGATGCTTTGCAGGCGTATCCCAACTGCCCGACAGACATCAAGCAGTGGGCAGCATCCTCACTCAGCTGGTTGTGAACTTTTTGGAACTTGCAGTATCTCTTCCTACATCACAAAGTTTGGAGTTAACTGTAAGTTTTAGGAGATGTAATGTTTGCCTACAGCAGGGTTCAAATTAATAAATTTTTGAAAGAAGGTTGCTTTGCTGATTGATTTTGTTTTTTAAGGAGAACTATAACCCTGTGATGTTCTGATGGCCGTAAATGTGACTAACTGAAATGCTCAGTCAGTTTAGCTCAGCTCTGTGCTAACTCCTCTCGTACACAACTTCCACTGCGTAGAAACCGCACAGAGCTTTGATTTCTCACTCTGGGATTGACTGCTTTGGACATCAGCGCGGTGGTACACTGCCACCAATGGCTCTGGGTCTCATGCTGCAAGAGCCAGGTTAAAGCTCACGCTTAGTGTATGTTTTTTTTCCTCGAATTTGACTTGACATAAAAAAATTATGTAATTAAACCTTTAATGATAACTAGCTTTATCTGTTAAGTGATATTTCTGTGCAAAACAGTCTCTCTTACCCAGTATCATTCAGCTGGTTCCTGTGGTGACCAGTGTGGTGCTTGAGGGGTGACTTGTCCCTGCCCGGGCTGACGGCAGGGCGGGCGTCTCCCTGCATCAGGCAGCTCTGAAACACGGCCCTGGCTGTCGCAGAGCTGCAGTCATCAACTCCGCAGGATTAGAAACTGGTTTTACAGCTGTTCTAGGGCCAAATATGTATGGAAGGTATACAATAATGTATATTGGAAGTATGTATAGCTCAGCAGTATGCTCCTCTCCAGGCAGGCATTGCCCTTGGTCTGGTGCCACACCACCGTTCAGGCTAAAAGAGGGACGAGCTGCCTGAGCCTGCTGCTGTGTGAGAAAGGGCGATGCAGCAGGGCCCGTGGCCTTCCCTGTCCCCGGTCAAGAGTAAGTAAGCTCACGCTTACCTTAAAGCCTCTATGATGTCATACGCATTTTTAGCAGCCCAGGGGCTTCAGCCTGTGAAAAAGCTGAAGAAGTTTCAGTGATGATTGTTCATGCAAAAACCATTCTCTTTTGTCAAAAGGTTATTTTATTTATTTTGCACCCTTTGCTGCTTCATAAAGATAACTGTCTACGCAGCCGCACATCTCAAAGAGATTTGGTGCTCTGAAAAGCAGAAAAATAAGTAACCGGACTCTGATAACTTTATGATCTACTCCTGTAAGCGATGCCTTAGCCAACCTCCCTCCTGCCGTTACAATGGAACGCTATTGCGACTGTAACGAAAACAATCTGTTGCAAGGTTTTCTGCAGAAGCATTTGCAATGCCTGACTGAAGGAGCTGCAGCCCAACAGCCGAAGGCACCTGCTGGCGCAGGAGGATGCGATTAAAGCACTCAGAGCAGCAGCTGCCCCCGTCCCTGCCTTTGCTTACAGCCTTGCTCCAGGCAGGGACACTGGAATCGGGATACTCACTGTGCAGGCTGTGGCAGCAGCAATAACCCAGGCTGGAAAAAAAATAATCCACTTCTAGTAGAATAGTGGTAACAACATATCCACAGATCTGTAAAGGTCCGCTTGGTGAAATTTAACATTTTGAGAAGGAAGAAAGGTGATGGCTTCTAATTTAAGCTAAAGGACAAAAGCGCAGTAACGTGCCTCAACCCAGCTCAGGAGGGAACCCAGACCTCGCGATCAGCCGCCGATGCTGCAGCCCGGGGCTCCGCTGCCAAGCTCTGCCAGCTGCTGTGGGAGCAGAGAAGGAAGCACCAGCCCTGTGGCTGCAGCGGCAGCGGGTCTCTGGGCCAGGAAGAGTGGTTGCTGTGTGCAGGATTACAGAATCCCAGACTGGTCAGGGTTGGAAGGGCCCTCTGGAGATCATCCAGACCAACCCCCTGCCAGAGCAGGAGCACCTCCAGCAGGTTTTTACCGAAACATCACCCCAGTCTTCCTCTGCCCTCAGCTGAACTGATCTCCCCTGGTAGGGAGTCTGCCTCCATGCTCACCTGCTGGTTAAAAACTACAGCACTGTGAAATACCCCTTCCTGACCGGGAGGGATGGGGAGAGGAGTTTTCCATCAGGAATGCTGGAGATGATGCAGATTCTGCCTTTGCTTCCCCATCAAATTCCAACTGCATGGCCTCTCTGTTGATTCTGCCTTTGCTTCCCCATCAAATTCCAACTGCACTGTTCTCTTTTTCCCACACCACCAGCCCAGCAGCTTGGGAACCGCTGCACGTGCAAGAACCACCACCGGCCTCTTCTACCACCATGTTGCAATTTGAAAAAAGGCATATGCAAGTTGTAGTAGTCACATTTTTTTATTTTAACTTTTTTGGGGAATAGGGGAGAAAGAGTATACATTTTTATTTGTACAATATTTAACAATCACTTTATTGAGGGCGAGGGGGGGTTGGTTTGTTTTCAGTACTTGCAGAAAAACAGCAAGTACCTTTTGACAGTAGTACAACAACCTGTGCCCAAAACACTGACAAATACAAAGAGTAAAGTTAAAATAATTGCTTACCAAAATCTTGAGAGGTAACGAATAGTATATGGACTGAAACGGCATTAAAAAAATAAAATAAAAGGGAAAAAAAAAAAAAAAAAGAAGTACTGCTGGTTGAGTATCTGAGGTAAATGATGTTCCATCAAGGATGCTACTTGAATCGTTTTGCCCATGAACATATACTGCAGCTTTCTGCGTTTTGTACCAAGTGTTCCTAATAAAAGTAAATGTATTAAAAAAAGGTTAAAAAAGAGAAGCTGGAAAAAGAGCAAACTGGTAACCCTATTTATTCTGTCAACTGCTAATATGAACAGGAAATGTCTTATCACTGCCTGGTTACATTTTAGTTAGCACACCCAAAGCCGGTATTTGAAAACTACTCCCACTTTTTTAAAATCTCAAACAGAGGGTACGAAGTGGCGGATTTCAGTCCTCACGGTGCAGTTTCAGAATCCCCCCCCAAATGACAGCGCTAGTTCAACAACTCCCACCGCTCCAGGGCACGGTCTCCGCTCTGAAAACGCTACGGCACCTGCAGAAGTCTCCGAGGATGCCATTACAGAAACTTCTTGCCCTCCAACCCGAGGTAAAAACACTTGTGGCTACGTGGAGAAGGGGCGAGCAGAGCTGGGCTGCCCACCGCCCTTCAGCAGCCTCGGCTGAAGTCGGGAGCAAGGGACCGGCTGCTCCTGGGAGCCACAGGACAGGGCCACCCCTCGGAGCTCCCACCTACGTGCCGCACGGCTACGGGACTAAAGGGACAACAGTCACTGCCTGGAGTAAACACCGCCAGAGCGTTGGCACTACCATCGCTCCCACCCAGCCCTGCCCTCACTGGCATTTCAAGTGCTGCTGGCTCAGGCATCTCCTCAGCTTGCACAATTAATGCTCTACAAGTAAAACAAAAATACAGGTCAAAATGCCCTGCGAGAACACTTGTACCAGAACCGCTCCGGGTGTATCGTTTGTACCAATTAAGAAGCATTTATACTATTGACATCCTTTTCACAGTGACACTGAATTATGCTGTTAAAAATCAGGAAACTCGGAGCAGTACAATATTTAAACAACGGGGCAGTTTTAAAAGACGCGGGTAAGTTGTCTCAGTTTTCCTGATGCGAGGCCGCGCCAGTGCCCTGCGCTGTCGGCAGCGCGAAGTCTCTGAGCGACACCGGAGCCGCCCCCACTTCGCTGCGAGAACCCGCGGGAGCTGAGCTTAAAGGGTAACACACAGACAACACACGTTTTACACATGACCAATTTTTGCATCAGATCTCAAACACCACATTCTGAAGCCATCTGTATTTACCCCGTTTTCGCTAGTAAAGGGGTTACAGCTCATTGGGAGCACAGAGGTCTTCAGTGAAGTACGAATGGATTTATTTGTTCAGAACTCAGCAGCTACGTTCATGTCCTGCTGTGTGCGTAAAGTCATGTCCCTGCATTAAAAATGGAAGCAAAATGAAAGTGTCAATCGAAGAAGCGGCCACAAACGGGATTTTTTTCTTTCTTTTTCTAGCCAAGCGGACCACCACCGAGCTGCGCCCTACAGCACCAAGGACCCTTCAGAGCAGAGTTCCTCCCGCTACCTGGAACCTCGGGCACCACCAGCAGGACACCAGCCACAAGGGCACAGCCGTACTCTCCCTCGCCTCCCTGCCACGAGCACGCCCCGCCAGGTCTCGTTTATCCCTAATGTCTCTTATTGTTCCCAGAGATGAAGTTCACGTACAGGTATAACTGTGGGTATCTTCTGGCTGTACAGATCAACTGTCAAGACAAAACGTTCACAGTGAGCTCCTAATCGCAACATTAAAAGCTTCTTTCAAAAGACGCTGAATGCACAGCATAAAGACAAAGAAAACACTGATAGAATACACAGCAGACTACCAGCCAGCGTTGGTTCTGTACTCTAGAGGTTGGTAAAATCTATTTTCTTGGGAAATCTGTGTAAAGGATCAAATAAACGCAGTGAAGCAGTACTTCTGAGAAGCACTTTGGCACCTATCTACCAGTCAACTTTGTAATCTGGGTGTAAGGCATGACTCCCGAAACTCGAAAAGAACGCTGGAGTTGTGAAAGCGATTTCACTGGTTTTCCTCCTTTTTTGTGAGTCTGTGCTACGGACGTTGGTATTCGTTACCTCTAACGAGTCATTGCATATTTTAAGTTGTAAGCGTAACTAAATTATCCCTGAAATTTGTAAGCATTGACAATCTGCAATCTGTGGCTAGAATTTTCTGTGTGGTTTGGGGATAACCCTATGGATCACAGACATGAATTAGCACTCCCGTGAGATGGCACCGCGCTTTAAGTAGAGCGAAGTTGCAAATCTCAAAGCAGAGGGCAAAGAATTCGGGGTAACTGAGCTTCCTGAGGTGATCCTGAAACAGTGATACAGAACCCACTGCATACTGCTTAGTGAAACAGAACACGCGCTAGGCAGACCTCTTCACAAAGATAAATAGGAAAAAAAGACTTTTTTTTTTAAAAAAAAAAAAAAGAACAAGAATTCAGAGCTTTCCAGTGTCATAGCTCACAGAAAATTAATAAAAAAAAGTCATGCTTAAGTTTTTCAAATATTCCTCAGACACAGCAAACCTAAATAGTATTCAGTTAAATAAATGTATGAGATACTCTGGGAAATGGAGGTAAGAGAAAAGCTTTAAACTAAAAGAGGAAGGAAAATTTTGTTTCAATAAACAGCACTTTTTTTTTTTATACACAACAAGCTAGTACAAGAAAAGGCTAAAAACACTGCTTTAGGAATGGCCATTTACTGTTGGCATGAAGCATAGCTTACCCTTTTTAAATAACACAGTGAATTTGAAATACATCATTTACAAAACACGGATCGATTTATTATTCAAATTTTGTTAGTGTTGTCAATCTCATAATTTAGCGGAGGTGGAGCTGAGGTATACCTTGTTGAGGGAGGTTAAGTAATAATACTTGGAAGCCTCTTTGCTATATCCCACTTGATTACTTTTGTTTATGTACACTGAACAGCAGCACACTAAACATTCACAAGCTGTGTCATATTGGCATTACAATAGTCATCTTTATAAACAACAGCAAATGCAATAAAAACAAGTTACCCTTTTTTTTCTTTTTTAAATCTGAAATGAAATGTTTGATTTAAAAAAAATAACAGTAGTTCATTTAAGGAATTAGTCTCTTCTGACAGGTATTAAGAAAGCTGATGTCAGTTTTTAAAACGCTTGGTTAGCCGGTACAGGTCCGTATTCTTCATTTCAGTTCCTTAACAGCACGTTATCGTTTCTCAGTCACGTGTCCTTCAGGTGTAAGCAGGGAATGCAAAAAGTCTCACGGATCCACGTTCGGGAGGAGGAGGAGGAAGGGGGAAATAAAGGAAAAACACCTCTTGATGACGTTCCAGAGAGACTTACCCTTCGTTTCACACAGAGAACAGTAATGCCGTGAGCAGTCCCGTCAGCGTTAGCAGCTCCAGTGAAGAGTCCTGGCGGTCAGTGACGTGACCAGTGCAACTATCATAGACTGGATTCTTTGGGAGGAAAGTCAACGTTTGTCACCATTGTGACCACAGTCACGATGTCCTCTGTCGTTATAATGTTAGTTAATTTTTGCATCTGAATAATGCGCTCTTCTACGCACCCCGCCGACAGCCTGGCTTCCGCATCGTGATCCCAGCACTCCTCTATGGTTTCACAAAGCATCGCCATTCCCTGCGAGCAAACGAAGCCAAATGAAAAATCACAGCAGCAAGTTTTAGGAAGGCGGGGTCGCCTCGCAATTCTGACAGCAAACTGCATTTTAAGGTGCCCCTGCTGAATTTTAACCCTTCTGTCAAACAGGAAGCTATGCTGAATTCGTTGTGAAGCCAAACGTGTCTCACAAGGCCTCATGGCTTATTTATTTTGCGCTATTTAAATATACCCAACAGCCAGCAAATCCTTTTCACCATACAAAGCTCAAGTCTGCTGGTAAAGTCATCGTGCTATTTTTAAAGATCTCACACCAAAAGAGGTTAAGTTCTTCAATGAAAAAACAAACAGTGGAAAAGGGGGTTTCTATCTGACAGCGATTCACTTTTCTCCAAAGTAACGCTGAGCTCATACAGCACGATGCTAATGACAAGGAGCAGCGGGTAACGCGCTTGTTTTTCTTGCAGACAGTGTCATCTATTGTTTCTAACAAAACCATTTTTTGAAAAAAAAAAAAAAACCCACAAAAACCCAACAGAAAACAAAAAAAAACAACAAAAACCCAACCCACAGCCAGTGCTGGGAATAAGCAGTGGCGTTACTGCAAGTCTTTGGCCACCTGAACGGCGTCAGGAAAGCGCACAATTCCTCCCGAACCGATCGCAGGAATTGCTC